GTTTGGACTTCTGGCCCACCACTGGGCTTATGACTTGTCTGGGTTTTTTTTTGCACAGTTCTGGACATCTTGTTGATAGGGCCTCAAGGTCTGTTTTGTACACTACACCCTATTTATACAGTGCTGTCATTTCTGCTGATTGTCTTGTACAGCAGTGTAGTTTCATGTTGTTACACACTACAGTATAATAATGCATGTAAGAGATATGCAAAGTCATTAAGTCGGAGTTTCTTTTGAGCATTTCTTTGTCCTGAGTATTACAGTATACATACTATGTATGATTCCTAAATTGGTTTAGCAACCCGGTTGCAGAAGAGGCTCAGCTGTTAAATGAGTGCCTACTGCCTATTATATTTTAGGCCCATTCACTAAGAATGTTGTGCAAATAAACATAGCATTCATGAAAAGACGAATGTCTTCCAAATATGTATTATTTTTATAGTGTCTGATACTGGGGGAAAATAAGCTACCTGGAATTTTGTTGGAGACCAGGCTGTATAGGGTTAAGTTGCTAAACACAGGGCCACGTTGGTAAAGCTCATATTCACAGTGCTCTGAAGTCAAGATAATACCACAGCTGAGGCAGCCAACAACATAGGCTGCTAACACTCCCTATTCCAGAGCAATAAAGCTGCCAGCCTTATGGATCAGTCTTCTTTATTGGCAAATTCACTGCCTTTGTATTTCAAGACCCTGGTCATTTTTGTTGCCTTGGGCTTTCATACCCCCCACTTCCTGCAGCCCCCAAACCTGTGAAATAAACACTGGCTGTCTAGAGTTGTCTCAACTCCCTGAAAATCTTTACTCCTAAGTTCCGACCTTCCTAGAGTTCCAAAAATCACAGTACTGTCTCTTATTTAAGCTGTTTGCCATCCATTCATGTAGGAGATCGGGCAAAGCCAAGACCTGGTAACATATTTTGGATGCTGAGGCAAATCAAGCCACCTTGTACATCTGGTGGCTTTTTCTGCCCCTGTATCCAAACAATAGATGGTTTGCCTGTTTTGATGCAGAAGGAAGTGATTTGGAGCATGGTTTTATGGGACCTGCTGATCACAGAAGATCAACAGCTGTACCAAAGGGCTGGCCACACTTATCAGGCCAGCTACACTTACCAGGGCATCCTTTCTTATTGAGTTCACTTCTAAGGAAGATTTGCTTCCAATAGTTCCTTGAGTGACAATACAACTAATTCATTTGGAGTCAAATCAACTCTCAGACATAAACAAACTCTTTACAAGTGATCTTACCTTTGAAACATTCTGAAAGTAAGATGTCGCCTATCATATAGGTGCACATATTTTAAGAGTTGTATATTAATTTCCCAAACATAGGAAAGAATTGCACAACTAGTGATCACTGTACATCTAGTCTCTGTTTTATGCGTTTAATTTTTGTCTTACACTTCTGGCTGGTCAGCTCCTTTACTACATACTTCCTATGTGTTTCTATCCTCCAAAGTATACTGCAGAGACAGACAGAACAGTGGCTCCATTACTGCTGGTTTCACTGTCAAGGATACTTGGCATTTCCAATGATTTTGAGTCAAGCAGGTTCACCATTCTGTGATACCTTATTGGTAGTACTTTAGTTTCACTGGTCCCTTGCAATGAACTGCAGAAGCTCCTTCTTTAATAAGCCCAAACTGCACATTTAAAACACAGCTACTAGCAATAACAACTATGTGATCAATGTAACCTGGAAGAATGCACAGAAGCTACTTTGATGCCAGGAAAAGTCATATAAGAAAATATAGCAATAGACACTTTAGTGATTTGCTGAAAACCATATCTGGCTTGAACCTGTTTGGCAATCATGATTATTGGTGAGCACTTTCTATATCACTGCCATGTCATAAAGTATGCTGGATTTTCTGAGTCATTTTCACCTCTGCATTTTCCAACATGTGAGGGGTCAATATCGCTGATGTCAGGGTGTGTTGGCAGCTGTATTTTACTTTAAAGGCTTTTGGAGAACAGGTGTTAAGATAACCACTCATCTTCACTGAACTATTTTGAGAATATGATGTCTAACACAGGTAGTCCCCATTTACCAACCCACCTGGTTAATGACCGTCCAGACAAAACTGTGGTGTTCGGATTTATGACCAGTCTTTTCTTCTACCAGTTCTGTACAGTTGCTGGTACAGTTCTGTACAGTTGCTAATAGAGCTCAGTGTCCTTCCTTATACAGTACACCTTGCTTATGCAATGCTGTAACTTTTGGTGACTTACTGTACAGTAGCTTTATGTTCTGTTATACAAGGCCACATGAGTTAGGCAAATAAAAGCAAAGTCATCAAGCTGGGAGATTCTTTTGACCATTTCTTTGTTCTGAATAATGTAACATACATACTACATATAGTTCCTTATTCAGCAACCAATTTAGTTAATGACCTTGCAATAGGAATGGAGCTCAGTTGTTAGTTGAGCATTTCTGGCTTGAACTTACTTCTAAGATGTGCTCCTTACTCTTAATGCATAAAACTTAAGTTCAGGATGTGACATTTCCAGAGAGTTAAGTGAAACTCAGTGCTCTCTCCAAGTTTACTCTACTCTGAATGAGTCCAAAAATTAATCTCTAATGCCCAGGACATGACCTGTGGAATTTCTCAACAACCTTTCGCCTTTCAGTAGCTATTCCCTGCTAATGCTCTTGGAGCTTTCTTCTATAACCCATTTCGTATTCCTCCTCATCTCTGCCAGGCCCTCATCCAAATCAGGTTGTTCATCTACAAGTGTGATATTCTCGGAGGTGAGGTGAGGATTTTTGTTTCACAGACTTTATTGAATCCTCTTGGGGACACAACATGTAAAGGAAAACCAGGATTATAAGGAGAAAGAGCCAGAACTGTGGTAAGTTATAATGCAGCTGGTAACTGGTCCTTTGGGGAGCTGTGAAGGTGAGGTGGTCCTTGAGGCAAATCCAAAATTAAGGCAAAGGAATTGGGCCTTGTACGTTGGACCTTCCCCCTTCCCACAATCAACAAGTCATTAGAAACGGGCTGCCCTAGGAAGATGCCATTCTATTAGGTGTACTTGCGTTTGGCCTAAGGAATTCCCAGGGTGGATGGCAGCATGGGCAATTAGCAGCCAATGCTTCCATCACCTGAAGAAGGCTTCAGGCCTGAAGAATCTAGAAAACACAACACTGCCCACTATAGTGCATCACTTATGCCATTCCAATGGACTTGCTTCTTAAGCACTCAGGATTTGGGATTTTCTTGTTGCCTGGAGGAAGATATAAGAGGAAGATTAATGAAACACATTATGGACAGTATCCTCCCATCACTGGAACTAGCCTCACGGGGGTGGGTGATATTCATTACCATATTCATCTGCTACCCCATTCTAGCTTCCCTTCTCCCTTGGATGCCACCTCTGCTGGTCTAGGTGACTCACGAAAACTTAAACAAACCCTTGAGCCTAAGAAGTCTGGACCCTGGTCACCACTCCCTTTTGGGGCCACAGCTGGTGCACTTGGCTATTTACCATCAAACTTGGCCAAAGAACATTATGCATACTGTTGTACTGAGTGCCAAATGTTTTCCTCCCTGCACTCGATGTACGATTCACAGTCTGCAAAGAATTATTTAACCATGCCAGTATTTCTTTCCTCATGTACTGTCTTCCATTAGATACTTAGTTTAAAATCTAAGCTTTCCACTGCTATGTCTAAATACCTAAGAATAACAACTTTAAGCAAGAAATGTTTATTTTGGCTCATGGCTTTTGTTGATGGTCAACTGACTTCATTGCTTTTAGGCCTGTTGCAAGGCACAAACATCACGGTAGAAGGGCATGGTGAAGGAAATTTGGTGACTTCATGGCAACCAGGAAGCAGAGAGTATGACAGCAAGGGGTCAGGGACAGGAGTCTCCAAGAGCATGGCCCTAAGACTTCCTACTTTCAACTAGGTCCTAGCTCTGGTTTCCATTACTTTCTCATAACACCATACAGTTTTGACTCCATCAATGATTAATCCACTGATGAAGGAACAGCCCTCAGGATCCAATCACCTACCAAAAGCCTCAACTCTGAAAACTGCTGCACTCAGGGTTAAGCCTTCGATATACAAACCTATGGGACATTTGATACTATGCTAACGCTTGAAAACAGAAGAAAACGTCCTAACAAGAGAGCAGAATCTACCACGTTTCGACTGCTCCCTCAATACCACCTCAAACTGGTTCTACTCACCACACAGGCCTTTGCATGATGACTGCTCTTGCCACAGAAATTCAGGTCTCACCATTCCATCTCATCAAGATCTCTGTTCAGCTACTTAAGTTTCTTAACTACTGTACATAAAATGGTAAGACTCTAATCTCTCTTAAATGTCTTAAAAGTTTGAGTGGTTTTCTGCATAAAATGCATATAATTTTTTATATTTTTCTAAAATCCAACCCTCTCTCAATTAGAATGAAGTGCTTTGGTGTTCAAAAATCTTGTTTGGCCCATAGAATGTATTTAACAGGATAGTGGTTATCAGCATGGACTGTCCAGGTTCAAATCTGGGCTCTACTTTTGTTAGCCAGTGAACTCAGGCAAGTAGCTTCCATGTGGATAAGAGAACATAACTTAAGTGAAAAATGAGTACAGTGGTACCTGTTGATAAACTTAATTTGTTTTAGGATTTGGGGGAAGATGGCGGCAATTGTGTTTATGTGAGGAAGATGGCATGGTCATGTTTGTCACTTGATACTGAGTTTGCAAACGGAAGCAAAATGTTGCCAAATGCTTTTTTTGCAAGGCAAATTGTTTAGAAACAGAAGTGTTCATGAACTGAGGCATTATTGTACTCAATATTTATAAGGGACTCTTGCCTATGTACAAAACATGCTATGTATTTGACCATTTATTATCAAGGCATTACAATTCTTAGCTATATAGAAATATGGGACCTGCACAAGGAATAATTCACATGAAAATATCTCATCTTATATATTCCAGTTATAGTGTTATCAAAATAAGTAAAAAAAGACAGAATTACAATGTTAATCCATAATCATAATGGAAGACTTTACTATACCATTATCACTAAAGTCAAAAGAAAAAATCTGTACAATGAAAACACAACTAGATTAAAATCCATATATTCTATATCTACATATTAGAGAATATACATCGTTTTGAAAGAAACATAAAACATGGATAACACTGAGCAAACTGCTAAGTTTACCTTAAAAATACTGTACTCAGAAGTTAACAAAACAGCTCAAAAATGACAAATCACTTTGGCTTCAACTGGTCAGGGGTTACTTTTACTCACATCACATAAGCAGAAAGTCTTAATAAGCAGCCCAGAACTGACACAGCCAATCAGCAGCTTTGGGAAAATTCAGGTTTTTTTGGCTGCATTGTGTATTTTGTCTGTGTGTGTGTGTGTGTGTGTGTGTGTGTGTGTATGCAGGGAATAGCTCTTTGTTCTCCAGACCTTGAGGCCACTTTCCATGATAAGGTATGGATAAGGTGAATAGAAAACGGGTGAAGAAAACAAGTCATATGGTTCTTTAAGCCCTCAAAATGACTTCTACATAATTCTCATAGCCACCAGAATGGAACAAAGTCTGTCTGGGCTTCATAAAAGCCTGGTGGCTTATTTTCAATACTGCTCATAGACAGCTTGAAAATGTTTTTTGTTTTTTTTTTTTAAGTTAGTAAGGAGGGGAGCATAAGCTTTGGGAAAGAAGCTAATGGTATTTGCCATACTAATACAGAAAGGTAAAAAAATAATCAATAGAATGAAGTCTGCACGTTCTGACAAAAATACCACTAACTTAGAAAAAAAAAAGAGTATCAGAGGTATCATTTAATTTCATATGATAAATAAATGCATTCAGGGTCTATTGAGAAATACTGCACCTTTCTGGATATGCAACGCACTGATGCTTTTAAAGAGCAAATTATAATAGATTGCATTCAAACTCTGAAAGGTAACTTAGGATTTATTTTGAGGAACAGATATAAATGTTTATATGAACCAAAGACTAAAATTAATGAATTAGTGGTCAAACTTACAGATTAGACAATGGTAATGCTAAATTCAGATTCACTTATACTTTTTGTTCCCAGTATCAATTATTGTGTAATCCTTTAGTGAAGAGTTGAGACTGAGGTATTCTACCATAGATTACACTCCTAGGCTGTTCCACCATGTAATGTTCAGGAGAGGAATCAACGAAAATTTTTCAAAATTAATACTCATAGGTTTTGCATCTGGGGAGAATTTTCATAAGTGGCATCTTAGAAAGCTTTCTCCCTTTGTATTCACAAGTCTTCTACCGAATGTGGGAAAATGGAAAGTCTTCCAATACCCATGACATTCAAGTTTTCTCTTTATAACAAATTTTCACATCTTTTTAAAAGGAGAGAATGTTCAAGGTTTTCCTACAGTCACTGCAGGTAGAACACTCCACCATCCTGTATTCAGTAACACGAACACTTGCACTCTAGTTTCCACATCTGCTTTCATATGTGTGTCTGAAAGGATGAATGTCAAGCTTTTTCATTCTGATGATCTTCATAGAGTTTTTCCCAGTGGGAGCTGTCACATAATTCCCAAGAGCTGTGGCTTTCCTTCCACTCTTCAGGTTTTTCTGGACATATTAATGTGAGTTTGAGCTTTTTTTTATGAGACAGGGTCTCACTATGTAGCTCAAGCTGTCCTTGAACTTGCTACATACTTATCCTCCTGCCTCAGTGCTGGGACTATAGGCATGCACCACCATGCCTAGAGAGCTGGAAGTTTTATCACACAGACTGTACTCAGTAAGTTTCCTTCCAAAGTAAATTAACAGGAGAGTTACTGAATACCATTTCATACTGACTGACAGGATGAGGGTGTGCTGAAGGCTTCTGTTCATTAATTTCATGGCAAGTTTCCTAGATGGTTTCCAGTGATCTCTGTTCCCTAGTACTCACACTTTCTGTAACCTTCTAGTACACTGTATCATGACTGGTCTGTGTGTAAAGAGTATTATATAGAAAATGTGAAAATACATCCTTCTGATGATATATCATAAGAAACACCATGGTTTCTTTACTGGCTCTCCCTTCCATCACTTGGTTTGGGAAAAATTCGCTGCCATACTGTAAAAATATTTCACCCTGTGGAGAAACCTACATGGTGGGGAACTAAGGGTCTCCTGTCAACAACTGGCACGGATTTTCCAGGCATGAGAGGGAGCTACATGGAAGTAGATCCTTCATCAGTAAAGACTTCAGCTGACCACAGCTCTACCTGGCATCTGGACTGCAATCTCCTGAGAGATCCTGAACCAGACCTACAGAGCTAAGCTGTTCCTGAATTCTGGGCCTACAGAAACTGTGACATAATAATGAATTCTTTGGAGCCACAAAGTTTTGGGGGATGATTTTTTTTTATGCACCAACAGATAACCTGGGTATCTGTTGTGAGTTCTCTCAAGCTGAGAGGTCAACAAGGGCTTTCAGAAATTCCTAGAGTAATTTCTCATTTCAATTCATATCCACCTGTTATGTATTCTCTTGTGCACAGAAAGGTAAGAGTTACTAGTGAAAGATTTTCCACAATGGTTACATTCATAGGGCTTTTCTCCAGTGTGAGTTCTTAAGTGCTTCTTAACAGCTGAGAGATTATTAAAGGCTTTCCCACAGTCACTGCATTCATAGGGTTTCTCTCCAGTATGTATTCTCTTATGCACTGTTAGAGAAAAGCTACTGCTAAAGGACTTGCCACACTCATTGCACTCATAAGGTTTTTCTCCTGTGTGAGTTCTCACATGCTGTGTCAGATAGGAGCTCTTCCTGAAGGCTTTCCCACAATCATGGCACTCATAAGGTTTCTCTCCTGTATGAATGCTATTGTGTCCTGTCAGCGAGGACCTCGTGCTAAAGGCCTTTCCACATTGATTACACTCATGGTGATTCTCCCCTGTATGGATTCTCTTGTGGCTCTTGAGGTTACAGCTAGTGCGGAAGACGTGAAAACACTGGTTACATTCATAGGGTTTTTCTCCAGTGTGAATTCTCACATGCAGTCTGAGAGATGAAGGATCACTAAAGGCTTTGCCACAGTGATTGCATTCATAGGGTTTCTCCCCATTATGGATTCTCCTGTGAATAGTAAGGTAAGACCTACTGCTGAAGGATTTCCCACACTGATTACAGTCATAGGGCTTTTCTCCAGTATGAATTCTCTTATGCTGAGTGAGGTTAGATTTTGTGCTGAAGACCTTAAAACACTGATTACATTCATTGATTTTCACTCCACGACGACTTTTCTCCTGTTGATTAAGAAATAAGTAATATAATTTATAATATTCTTGACATTTCATGTTATACAAACTGTCTTTCTCAGGAATTCTATTACTACTACTGGTTTTTGCCCTGTTTAAGCCCTTAAAAACAACAAATATTTGGTTATAAGTCTTTATTATATTCATAAAATTATTTTCTGATGATTTGAAGATTAATTTATGTTTTAAATAGCTAATTTGGGGCTGGGGATATTATTCAATGGCATAAGCACCTGCCTGGCAAGCACAAGGTCCTGAGTTTGATTCTCAGTACTAAAAATAAGCTAACATGTTCACATTTAATGAAATGTCACACATTTAATGAAATATTTACTTCATTAAATATTTCAGGTGGGAAGTCTCAGTGAAGAAAAAACGTTTGGAGCTAAGTTGTATTTTTTTTCCAAATCATAGTAGTTTGTGTCTATTCAATGATACTATTTCTCAAGCCTAACTTTGGGTTACTTTGTGTTTTTTCTAACTTACAACATTTTTCTGCTATGGAAAAACAAATCATCTATGTTGGTCTTACCGTTTTTACACCTTTCACTTGTTCTCGCCTAAAAACACCTTTCTTAGGAGTTAACCATTTGGCTTTAAGTACAGTCTCCAAATCTGAAACAAAGTGAGAAGAAAGTTACGTTCATGGAGAACAGCAGTGGAAAAGCACAGAAATTAGCAAAGGTGGACTCAAAAGATCAGAATTTCTGAGGAGATATGCAATAAAAGGCAATTATGGAAATTTTAGGTATTAATTGTTGTAGAATTTAATTTCTTATTAGTACATGTCTGCAGTACGTGTTTATATTTCTTGTGGGGAGTTGGAACATATACATAACATATTTTAATTCCTCTTTTCATCCTTTCATCTCTCATTATCACTTGATCTCCTTCCCATCTGAGAAAGATCTCCCTATTTCCTATTATCTATCTTTTACTTTACTTTTTATATATCTTTTGGGTTTCTCACTTACAAGAAATTATGAGATATTTAAGTTTATGTGTCTGACTTATTTTGTTTAACATTAAGGTCTCAGGAGCATCCTTTTTCCTACACATGATTCAAGTTTATCTTTCAGTACGGCAGAAAAACAAGATACTAGAAACATTGACATTGGCAAGGAATTATCAGGAATGAAAAGTAGGACTTAAATTTTAAGAAGCTATATATTCCAGAAATTAAAATATAAGATAATGAACAAAAAGTTAAAGAAAAAAGAAAAAAGAAGATACATAAAGATACATGAAGCTCAACCCAAATGTTGCTGTTCATCTTTGTCAAAAAAAGAATGCACTTTAGAAAGTTCCCTGTTGATACTGACTTATGTAACAGTCCTAACTGTTGAGTCCTGGCAACAGAATTCCTCACATGGGCTTATATACACCTGGAGCTCACCCGGACAAGTGCTTGGGAGATTTCCTCTTTCCTCCATCATTGCTTGGTCTTCTTGTTCCAGCTGGGAGATCAGACTGGGTTTATCAACATGACACCCTATTTAAGGAAAAACTATGTGATATAGAGAGACTGTTCAGGGTACAAGCAATTCCATGAGACTGAAGCCAAGCAACACTTCTGAAGATGGAAAGGTGCAACTTTAGGAACAATGGAATAATTCTGTCAAAAATCTAAGGAATACAGAAATTCTTGTAGGGAACAAAATGCAAGCATCTTCAATTCAAAGTGACAAACTGCCTAGCTTATTTTTAGTATTTACAGGACTCCATATATACATTTTTATTTTAAAAATTAAAAAACAAACAAAACAACAATGAAGACAAAATCAAAACAACACAAACCCCACAAAAACGATATATAACCTCAAAACAAAATGATAGGAATTAACTATGGTTGTTACATTACATACTGTTATCTTCAACAAAGTTGCTCAGTCCACCAGACATAAGAATATAAGATTGATCAAACAATCAAAGACAGTAACAAGTAATAAAAAAACAAAAACAAAAACAAAAACACTGGAAATGATGCACAGCTTTACCATACAAGATGGTAGGAGTTTAACAATGGTTCTTATACTGCATATTGTTGTTTTCACATCAGTCATTCCAATTACCAAATTCAAGCATGCAAAACTGGCATGACTCCATATATTGACAGAACACATTTGAAGAGATTGGGATTTGGTTTTGGTTATAAGCCTCTAACAGAAATCTCTGACAAAACACTAGATGACCATAGAGCTAATGAAAAAGAGATTTTAGTGGCCACACATGAAAAATATAGGTACTGCAAAGTTAGTTCTAAAGCATCACTAAAGATGCCTAAAAATGACATGCAACCATAATGAACCCTAAACATGGGGAGGAAATCAGATTCCAGAATTGCTGTACAGGTTGAGAAACTCTAGTTCAAAAATTCAAAATCAGAAATGCTTCAAGACCTGAACCTCTTTGAGCACTGACTTCTTTTTGCAAAGTTTTATCTTCTGGATCATCCTGGACCTCAACTTTGGGAAGCTGGCACATTTCTTTGAGCGCCTGCACTCCACTCAAGTACGTCCTATATATCCCTCAGATAAATCTTTCTCATACCTCTTTTACTGACGTGCCCTCAAAAAATTTTTCTCTGGGACAGGAGTCAGTGAATCTGTATACTTGTTTTAAAGCAAATTTCTTATCTCAGCCTTGGGGACCCTCCAACCTAGCCCATGACTCCTTCTTGGTGAGCCAGCAGCAGGAGGTAAAAGAGGAGGCATTCTTTTTGTAAGTCCAGGAAACAGCTTCTTTATTTATTTATTTATTTTCTTTGTTCTCACTTCCCCCAGTTCCCTGTGCCTCTGAGGCGTCATTTTCTCTGAAGTGTCATTTTCTCCCAACTCTTCTGTCTCTGAAGCAGTTTCTCAACAGTTTGCTTTTCTTTTTCTTCCACTCAGGATTTTACCTGTCAGAAACCTCAAATCCCTTCAAGTTTTTTTTTCCTGTTGGTTACCAAAAAAGCAAGAAGCTGCAGGGAAGAGGAGCCTAGTGCCTCCGATCATGTGTGTGTTTGTGTGTGGGCGAGTGTGTGGCCTCTGCTTTCCTTGATATGTGATCTATAGTTAGGTAAATTCAGACTTCAAAGACCCCCTGAGTTCCTCATGTATGTTACAGGTCTCTAGATATAAAGGCCTTTGGGATAGAGTTTTGAACAAAGCCTAGCTGTTGTGTATTATAACTTTTCCTGTGGCCTTGATTTGTTGTTAGAATAGACATGTTCCAGGAACAAGGATTGTTGGACCAGCCAAGACTAAAAGAGAGCAGACCCCGGGCAGTTCTGAGTCTGAAAAATGGGGTGGGCTGCTCATGTGGCCTGGTCCTGATTTGGGGCATGACCACGGTGTGACCTTGGTCCTGATATTTTCTTTTTCCTGTCTTTATCTTTTTTCAGAAGTACACAAAGAATATCATAAAGGCATGTAACAACTCTTTTATGATTATGGATAACTCAACCAATGTCTATAGTTTATGTCATAAAACGTGTACTTTATGAACTTAGGCCTAATTTAAGATAGAGGATTTCTTAGAGGTTGATTTTTCTCTAAAAGGTAAATTAGAGAGTAAGAAGACAAAACCTCAAAGCTCTTCCCTCACCCTCCTGCCTTTTTGGTTATAGTGTTAACAGGAAAGATGTTCAGAGTAGCTCACAAAGAGCATTTAGCTAAGTATTAGCCAAAGGAGTCATGAGATCAAGAGAAAGGGGGCACTCACTAGAGCACCTCCTGTTTGCCACTGCCAGCCCTGCACAGGGTCAAACTGCAGGAATGGCTTAGGGGGCAAAACAGGAAAATACTGTCATGGGTAGATATCAGCACCAAGGCAGAATGAAGCCTTGAGAGACTTTGACTCCCCCATTCTTTAAAAATATACACTTAGCTCCAAAAGTCACCACCCAAACCTGGACTGAACAGTTCTGGCTATCAAAACCAGAGAAAGTGCTGAGAAGCCTGAAAGACCAGTTCAAGATTAAGACAAATTATCAGTCTAATCCTTCCTTAAATGGAATTCACATTTACATTGTGAAGAGGCTTTCTCTTTCATCTCCTTAGTTTACTGCAAGAGATGTCTAGGCTAACTGGTCACCCCTAAAAGTTCTGACTAGTCAATTTATAATGAACCTACATCAGATTATCATAGCTATAGCTCAACTTGGCTAATATTTCTAAGAGTGTACTCTGATCTGTGTTTTCTTGTTTACTTGTTTAAACTGTTTAAGGTGCCTAAAGCTGCTTTATTTAAGATTTTGGAGCTCATGTCGATTTTATTTTTTCTCTGGCTCTTTTGGCCTCCTACATAAAAATGAATTATCCCGATTATTGAAAATAGCTAAGTCCACCTAAAAAGTTACAGGATGAGGGTTAAGACACTTCAAACTCACACGGACTTACAAATAAAAGCCTTAAAGTTTGAGACCATACAGGTTATATATGATTTAAACTATATATATATTTCTATATGTAAATTTTCAAATATATGTTTTATCTGATGCCTTATGGATAAGTGGAAACTCCCGATATTAGCTCAAATACTTATGGTTTATATAGCTTAACAGAAGACTAAATCTGTTGATAAAAAATAAAGGTATTTTAAAGACTGATGACATGTTTTCATCCAGGTTGTTAGATAACCAAGATAATGTCCAAAGTTACTTTCATAAATGCAATGTCTATTATTGATATACAATAATTTAAGAGTTTTTCCTTGGTCAAAGATAATATATAAATAGTTTAAAGTGTTAACTGTAATGATGAGTCATCTAAAACAGCTTTTAAGATACCTAAGTGGGGACCCCTTGGACTCGGGGAACAGTTGGACAAAACTCTCTGTGGTTGAAAGCAGCTGGTTGGACCAAAATTTATCCAGTTTCTCCACTGATGGGTGGTTTGTCCAGTTTTCCTAAGGTCTTTTAAAAAAATATTTTTTTTTACTTTAAAAAATTTTAAAAAAACTAGCAAAACAACAATGAAGACAAAATCAAAACAACACAAAAACAACAAAAACAATACATGACCTCAAAACGATAGGAATTAACAATGGTTGCTACATTATCCTACAGTCTTATGGTGTCACACCCCAACAGCTATTAAATAAATCATAATATGTTTAAGTTGGTTATAAGTAAAACATTACGCTCTCTATGTCTAAAGCAGTAAGGTTTTCTGATTAGGATGTTCTTCATTAAAACTACAAAACTAGATTAACCAGCAAAGGTTCTATATTCTACTAAGATAGTTTGTGTCTTTCGTTGTTAGGCTTTTGGTTACTAAAAAAAATCTGTTATAAGAGTTAAAGATTATTTAATTGTTGGTTTATGGAATGTTTTTAATAATCAGTTTATGACTGGTTAAATGAATAGCTATTATGCTTAGTTTATGACTCAACCTATATATCTGGTACTATGAATACGTAAGAAAAACAACAAGATACTGTAGATCTAAGCTTTAAAGTTAAGTTTGTATAGACTCAAGACTATGTAAGTTTAGTACAGGTAAAGTAACAAATAGATGCTCTTTTTATTATATATATACATATATATAAATTAAAGTAGCCAAATATTTTGACATTTCCTTAAATTTGGTTCTTCCATTTAAAGCTAGATCTACATCTACTGGCTTTGACTAAATAAACATTTTGTTATTGCATAAATGAGATATATTGGGTAGTAAGTCTATGTGTGGTTATTAACAGTTTCCTACATTTACAAGAATTCTAAAGACGTCCTTTAATTCTTGTCAATACAGAATTGATAAGAATTCTTTATAAACCTGTTTTTTTTTTAAAAATATAGACTTTGCCTTAAGAGTAAACACTAAGTAAATGTAAAGATTTCTATATAGCTAGAATACTAATTATCTCTAGCCTCATGGTGTATTAAATAGAATTGTGTTTTCCTAAGTATACAGCACTTCTTAAAATATAGGACTTGAGAAAGACATCTTATCACACTGATGACCTTCCAACTATAGTTGTTCATGATGATGGACTTTTTCAGGTTTATGTTTATGTGACTGTTATATAACTGTATTATGTTAGCTGTGCCTACACCTTACACAGTTGAGAACATGTTATTATAATGATTAGAGATTAGACATTAATAACCTATAATGTATCTATAAAATAAACAAGCACATTCTTCTTAAATGACATTCTATTAAAAGGTAACAAATTTAGATAAAGGTTTCTTTAGGTCATTTAATGTTTTGTAATTGGATAAAGGTGGTTGACTAAAATGGAAATTATATGTATTTTTAAAGATAAAAAAATCTACTGATTCCAATATAATAATGCCAGCATAATTGTTATGCTAAGATTCTATGTTTGCTCCTAGTAAACTTTGCCCTAGTAAAAGTTTATAACTGTTATATATTAACATTCTAGAGGAATTTAATCAACATTTTAGAGGAATTTAATTTCTCAAACATTATAGGAAAAAAGAGTAGTTCTCTGGCTGTACTATATTACAAGGTGCTTGATATCTAGATGAGATTATAATAGTTA